CACCAAACCCACCCCCCCCCACACACACACACAAAAAAACAGCAACAAAATTAACTCATTTTAGTGATCCTGTGATTCAATATTTTTAAACTAAATGCAAAGTTGCTGTTTTTAATCTTTTCTTGATAATTCTGTTAATTATTCCTGCAGTCGCTTACTGAGGTCTGCCTTGAGTATAACAAACACACGCACGCGCGCACACACACACACACACACACACACACACACACACACACACACAAACATAATTAACTCATTATAGCGATCCTGTGGTTCAGTATTTTTTAAACTAACTACACAGTTGTGGTTTAGCATCATCTTTAATATTCCCTCAATAAGAAATCTGTTTGTTGTGAATCATTCTGCAGTCACTCACTGATGTCATCAACTCATTATCATTTTCTCAGYTGCAGAACTGCGAGTTGCTTTTTCACAAATCGGTCTGCCCGGCTCAGGCCCGGCTCTGATACTACCTCGCGTGGGGGCTCAGAGGGGCATCAGAGGCGGGCTCACTTTACTTGCATTTCCACCTTCGTGTTTTTTCTGAATGATCCGAGGAGGACAGAACACGTGTCAGTCATGAACTGATGAACTATTGATCTGATTAATGAGAAGCACTGGTAACTGAGCAGCTGGCCCTGTGAACTGAGAGGCCTGGCAAATAAGGAGACGATTCACTTATGTTAGCACTGGAGAGGCTGCAACCCATGAAYTGAGACTCAGCCTCCTGCTACAAGGATGTGGTAGTCTTGGTTTTGGTCCTCATACTGCGCCATATCCAACATCAAATCTTTTCTGCATGTTACCATTTGTCTCACACCAAGAAGGTCCTGGGTTTGAGCCCCACGATGGACCACATGTTCTCTTTGTGTTTGTGTAGTTTTTCTCTAGGTGCTCTGGTTTCCTCCCACAGTCTAAACACGTGCATGTTAGGCCGCATTCAGGCCTCACTTGCAAAAGAGATCTTTGATCTTAGTGGGATTTGCCTGGTTAAATAAAGATTAATAGATTAAAAAAACATGTCTACCATATGTTTACAGTACAAATGTACYGATGGCAGTGACATCTTGTTATTGATTACAGAGGAGATCTGTACCCTGGTGATTGCTGAGGCCTTTCCAGAGGACGGGGGTCTGTTCTGCTGCACAGCGTCCAACATTTACGGCTCCGTCAGCAGCACAGCTCAACTCACTGTCACTCCAGGTGCGTCCAGTAACAAAAAAACATCATGAGATCATTCAAAACATGAAAACAAATGTGCCTCAAGATGTGGTGTCYCTACTAACTAATGTTTATGGTTTATTTTTAATGAAGTTCTTGAAGTGGAATTAGTTAATGAACCAGAAACTTTCTATTCTTTTTATTTGACTGTAATTTAGTCTGAAATAAAATGGCTTGAATAGTGCCTTATTAAATCCACTTGGACCCCAAGGTGCTTTACACTTCAGGCATTCATCCACACACATTCACACACTGATGGTGGTAAGCTACGTTGTAGCCACAGCTGCCCTGGGACACACTGACAGAGGTGGGTTTCTGTCTCTAAGCCAGTTACGATATCCTCAGACTTTATTTTTCCAAATTTAACAGTAAAACATGATGACAAGCACGTTGGAGCTTTAAAAATAAACCTTATTTCTGAATGCAAATAAATTTTACACCTTTGTGACTATTTGGGGCTAATTTAAGCAACTGCTTTSGTCTTTCGTCTGTTTCATGTTTTTGTTTAAAAAGAATGACGGTGTCCACAACAGATGAAGAGATGAAAACTTGTTGCTTTTTTTTTCACTAGAAACATGTCCTGCTACTGATAAAGCAGATTACTGGTCATTATAAAGGAGTGGGCATGTATTCTGGCAGTAAAGGTGCAGCTCACCATTTCTGTAGTTTACAATTTTTTAATATATTATAGATAAAACTAAACCAACAGAAACCGGTGGAGGATCACTTTGAGGGCCTTTTTAAAAGATGGTGGGAAAACCCTGTCTGTGGCAGTTGGGATAAAACTTGGGAAAATACTGGTCCTGTTAGCAGAATGTTATGGTTCATGTGCAAGTTTGATAAATAATAATAATAATAATAATAATGCAGCCACTTATGTACTCTTTAACTACCCTTTCAAAAAATCATTGCCCATCCTAAAAATATTAATACTAATTCAAGTAAATACTATAGTATAAATTTTTAAGCAGCAACACATTTTTTTTCCACTTTTCTTTTACCTAAAAAAATGTCGATGGTCTATGYATAATCATAAACTTGATGAATCCTTGACATATCTTGCAGCTTATCAACAAGTTTTATTTTCCCTCAAGGTTATGAACAAACAAATCAGAATAAAAGATAAAAGATACAAGATACAAGCCATCTTTAAACATTTGGGAAAAAAACTCTAAACAAGATCAACGTACGAAGGACTCAGCTCAAAGTAAACAACTGACTGTWTATTTACAGGTCTTAAAGGGGACATATGCAAAATCTACATTTTTAGCTGTTAAATATATTTTGTTGTGTACTTGAGTCTATAAAAAGTTAGTCTCTCCTGGTGCTGCAAATATATCTTTATTCTGTTTGGGTCAGATTTTTCAGCCTGTTCAGTTTTCCCTATTTTCACTGATGTTTTCTAACTAGTATATAAAATTATCTGCGACAGATACGGCAAACAAGCTCTGGACCTACCAACTACAATTTTKTTGTGTTTTTCCTCCTCCTGTTCTGGGTAAGACTCTGGTTCTGGGTCAAACAGGAGATAATTTGTTTTCAGATTATTTATAAAAGTTGTCATGAGCCGTCTTTACAAGATGACAGTGTCTGTGTTTGTTCAGTCGATATGAAATCAAGGAAGGACTTCAGCCAGACGCAAATGTTTCTGTGTATATTATCAGYTAGTTTGTACAGTCATCTTGCAGTTTGAAGGAAAAGCTGAATAAACACAAATTGCATGAGTCTGAATGGGCCCAGCAGCTGCTTCAGATCAGCTGAGACACAGTCTCTGTGTGTAATCTTTACTTGTGCGCTGGCCAAAAGAAAACTAAACATCAAAGTGAAATCATCTGCTTGTTTCTCTCAACAGTTGAAGACTTGTCCAGTAAAGGTCTGTCTGGAGACAGCTCAGAGTTTGAGGATGCCGCTTCCTTCCCTCCTCCTCCACCACCCACAGAGATCAGCCTCCTGGAGCTCCCACCTAAGATGCTTCCTCAGCCCGGTTCTGACGCTCTCCATGTTAAGGAGCTGGAAATCTGGCCCAGCGTATCAGTTCTGCCTCCGGTACTAATGAACTCACAGGAAGAGGTTAAAGAGCAGGAAGCTCTACAGAGAAGTCAATCCCCACCACCACCRTTACCACTATGTTTACCTAAAGAGACAGCACTCTCACCTCCACCTGTGCCACAGTCTGACCCTGGGCCAGATCYCCCAGCCACAGCACCAAGTCACACTGCACTGGACTCTACTCCCACCTCAAAGCTGTCTCCAACTCTTGGGAAAGAGGCTCCTCCGCTGCCAACCAAACCAAAGCCAAAGCTGTGAGTACCTGCCGTGTCTTTGTGGCTCTGCTCAGAGGAGGTGTTGTTTTTCTGTTTTCTTGTAAAGGGGGAATCCCTGCTTTTTTTTTTTTTTTTTTTCAGAACAAAAGCCCCAACTTTATGTTTGTGGCACCACGAGATTTCCAGCTGCCACCTGTCTGTCTTTTCTGTCTGTGTGGAGCTGTAAACAGATCTACGTGGCCTCTGCTGGATGGTTCCTATTGTGTCTGACCTCATGATGCACGTTCGAACCAAAACAGGGCCATTGTTTTTCCCTGAGCACTTTTCCAACAGCTCTGCAGGGATCAGATAGGATGTCACTGTTATTAGAAGAGAGCCAAACAATGAATAGCTTTATTCTCATTGGTCCAGTGTTATAAATCGTGGACTGGGAACTGGCCCTGTGATCATCTCTTTTTAATTCCACAGACTGATGCATTTCTCTTTTGCCTTTTTTAGAAAGAATGTAGCTGAGGGCTGAGTAGAAATAAGGGTAAAGAGAGAAAGCATGAGAAAAGGRAGGCTTGGCGTGCAACATAATTCCACATTCAGACTCAGAGCAGGAATGTTGCTATTTTGTGGTTAGCCCTTTTAATTCCCAGGCTTCCRGGGTGTCTTGCTGCTACATGTTCAAATATTTGTAGACTATTCTTTCAAAAATAATGATTACATTTGAGTGATTTTTTTATTAGCATTTGTTCTTCTCCCTTTAATGTGGCTTAAAAAATTGTGAAGTTAGTTTATTCTGCTGCTTGGCCTGTCAGTCATTCTTTGGAACAGACTGCAGTACTCCATGAAGTCACTGAACAGAAATTCAAGTTTTGCTAAATTAATCATGTTCTCCAGAACATGAGCTGCAATTTTGACAATCCCTTGAGTTTTTTTTTTTACTTTTCTATAATGAAGTTGACAGTTGGTCTTAGCTTGACTGCAATATAAGCTACCATATATTTTTTCTTGTTTCCTCTCAGGATGAGCTGTAAATTGTACTTTAGCCAACTAGTCTCAGCAGCCTGGTCATCTCAGGTTAAGCCTGGGTTTTACTTCAATGTGACGTGAGACAGCGGGTTGCTGATTGCATCATTTCGACTTCTTTTTGCTGATCGAGTGTTGTTCCGGCGCCCCCAGCGAGTGCTACAGCTCCCAGCATGCTGCTTCTTCACCATGCTGTTGTTTTACTGTTTTTTTCCTATCTTTTACTTTTTATTGTTTTGTACCTGCTGTTCTGATTTCTGTGCTGTCTCCACTTCCTCCCGTGACAACCTAAATTTCCCACCTGCGGGACGAATAAAGAATTCTCTTATCTTATCTTATTTTTTATTTTATTTTTTTTATCATCTTGTCTTAAATGGGCTAACATGGGGGGCCATAGATTATCATAATTCCTCCCTCTGCCCTCCCATAACTCATATAAGTATATAATCAGGGTTGCACATTAAATTTTTGGTCCTGTTCTCAGGGGAGAACCTGGGGTTGTTGCTTGGTGCGCACTCATATTTTCCTTCACTCATTTAACACATTTATCTAGAGGGGTGTCAGGTCATCTAATGTCCCCCTGTTCTGTTTAATGACTCCTATCAGCTGCAACGTCTCAGGACATCAGGTCAAATCAGTCCAAGTTTTTATTTTATTCTTTTACTCTGCATAAATTTTGTAAACTACTTAAGTGGCCGAGGGGCTGGGTGTATGTCATATAAACATCACAAACTGAASATTTCATGGTTAAATGTCTTTTAGACTACACRTGTCCCTCAGATGGACAGCTCCTGTTTGGTCTTCTGCATCTTCAGCCTTGGTTAAACCAGCTTTCYACWCTCTCCAGTCCAAGCAGCAAATATCTGTCTTTCACACAGAGCAAAATAACTTCAAACATACAAATGTTTTGTTAGACTGATTTCTTTTTAAAAGACTATTTTTTTCAAAAAGATAAATATTATTTATGGTTTCAGCTCATGTAATTATTTATTCTTCATATTTGATCATTTATTTAATTACATTTATCCCAGAAAAGCTGTATCACAGTATGGTCCTAAATATAAACAGGTTTAGCACATAAAGAACCTTTTTTAAATAAAATTGTGAATAAAATTTGTGGATCCTTATGACAAATTAAAATAACATTTAAAACTCATTCACCTAGAGAAAATGGCAAGTTGTTTTAATTTTTTTTAAATATATACATGTTTTTGACGGGGGTGATGTTAAACAGAGAATCATCTTTGTGGGCAAACAAATGTTCTGTTAGAGTTAATGTGGTTTAATTAGAACAGTGGGACCCTGCAGTATCACAGAAAGACTCAGCTTGAGTG